GGCAATTCCACTACCCCCTTGTCAATACTCTTCTTTGTTCTACAGCTATCTATGGCCACTTCCGAGAGCTCTAATCATCACAATTCAGAGTATTCAAGTCAGAGTTTTCCACACACCTGACTACAACCCTGAGCACTAGCAGGTCCAAACTACCTACCTCACTGTTCGGTCGACAGCATGGCTCTTGTCCCCACTATCCTCATGGGGTATGGCCTTAAACCTGCCTCAAGCTGTTTACCAGCTTAAGCTAAAGGATCATGGAAGTTCCATTAGTATCACAGGCCTACACTGGTACCATAACCAATACACACATACTCCACATCACTGTGAAGTTATCTGCAGTGGCTCAAAGACTGGTGGCATTTCCTGTCATATATATCTTAAGATGTTTATATAAAGATTGGGGGAAATAGACCCACCTTATATAAATATAAAACCAACTTGCACAGGCAAGTTGGCCTTCATTATACAGCATAAAAAAATGTATCAAGTGTGCCATACTTTATCCCAAAGCTTACCCCTTTCCCTGTTCAAAAGCAGACTAACAGGAACCTTGTTTTGGCTCTCCTTTTCTTCTTTCTTCTTAGTCTTTATAATTTTAGCTACAAATCATTCTGCTGGTAAAAGAGGCTCTGTTAAGAGTCACGTGATTTAAGAGTCAACAGTGAACTTTATATTCTTCTTCTAATTGTTGCCTCTTGAAAATTCAGGTAAAATTGGTTTGTTTTTATAGTGAAGTCAGCCACATAAATTTTCCAGGATTAAGGCCATTTCAGCAAGCCAGCATGCTTGTATCAAAGACTACTCCCTCAGGATCCTCTCTTCTGGGGAAGAGGGAGAGAGAGTGGGTTTCTTTTCATAAACCCCAGGGCTAAGGAAGAGTCACACTTTCACCATATCCAGCTCAGAGTGAACCAGTCCCCTCCAGACCACAAACTATAGGTCCAAAGTATAGCTTACATCAAAGCAAGGGAAATGACTTGGATTTTTAGAATTCCCTTATAATCTCATCATATTACTTCTTTTTCCTCCAAATCTTTGGCTCGTTTTTGTTTGTTTATTTAACCAGTTTTAACCAGGACGAGATAGAGCATTAGACATAGAATTAGGAAGAACCAAGTTCAAGTTGGGGTTAGAGCACCGTGGTAAAGCGATTGCTTGGTTCCAAGACCCTGGCTTTGATTTCCAGAGTTTGCTAGGCATGGAAGCACACACCTATAATCCTAGTACTTGGGAGGCTGAGACAGGAAGATCGAGAGTTCAAAACCAGCCTTGGCTACATAGAGAGTTCAAGGGCAGCCTGGGCTATATGAGACCCTGGATAAAAAGAGAGGGGGAGTTGGGTGGGTGGAGGTAATGAGGACAAAAAAGGAAAGGAAGAAAGATAAAGGGAAGGAGAGAGAGGGAGCAGACCAAGTTCAAAACCCCTCTTTCTCTCCATTGCAGCTTTGACCTCCAGCAATGAATGACAGATGAACGGATAATGATGGGAGAACTTAATAATGGCCACCATCTGGTGAACGATGACTCCTTGCAAACTACCAGCCTCTATATTTCATCTCATTTAATGCTCCCCCAAACATGGAGGTCTGTTTTCCCCACTTTTCGGATGTGGAATGAGTGTGAATGAGCCATCTGTTTCCTAACCAATAAGTAACAGAGACCCCTCTGTGTCCAAATCTCATAGGAGTTTCCTGCTGGTGGAAGTGGGGCAAGAGGGAGGACTTGGCATGGCCCTGGGAGATGAGTGAGAATCGGCTATGGGAAGGAGCAGAGGATAACTCAAGACAGCATGGACACATGACTGAAAACAAAGAGAGCTATCCTCACTCCTTCTGCACTTTGACGTGGTGACTTGAGCTACAGGCTTCCCTCCCCAGGAACCCTTGAAGGAAGTGACCTGTCCTTGTCTGTTGACCACAGGTGACCAGTTCTCACTGCCCTGCCTTTGTTCCCCCAAACTAAGATGTCCCCCTGGACCTGTGTTAAGTGTTCATCCTGTCATAACTGAAACGTTGTCTTGTTCTTGATACTACCCCACTCGCCCAAGAGGAGGAAACCAGTTCCATGACTCAGGTCCTCTCTGAAACTGCCCCACTGGGACCCAGGACCCTGCAGAGAGGCTGCCTGTTTTCTGAACTCACCCCTCCATCCCTCTCCCTCCTTCAGGCCTGTGTCTAATTGTTTTACTCTTGGTCCCTGTCGTCTTTCTTCTTCCCCCATTTTATCTCTTGGAGGCTCTTCTTTCCTACAGGAATAATTTGGCTTCGGGCCCCGAGATTTGCAGGGATGGGCAGCTGGGCTGTGTCAGGCATTCTCTGAATGCCTCCAGCCTCCTCCTCAGTGAGAGACTGCAGACTCCAGGAAGAGAGGGAGGGGCCATTTCAGTCCTCTCAGAGGGGGAAAGAAAGGGGACTTAATTTTGCACTGGATGTCTTCTCTCAAATTTCTAAAATTGAGCACACTTCACTCTGGTGTTTTTTTCCCTCTAACAACTCCTGGCTAGGCTCCATTTGTAGCTCCTCTTGTCTCAGGGTGTGACTCTTCTCATGAGCATTTGGAGTCCTAACCTTATCATATGATTATCATTTGTTTCTTATTACACCTGAACAGACAAATTATAAAGTTTAAATTGCTTGTCCTAAATACTACATCCCCCAACACAGACACACATACAACTACAAGCAAACCTCAGTTTTTCTACTCCAAGTTCATAGCTTTACTACTACCTACATCTATTGAAAGGTAGGCCTACAAATGGTCCAAGAAAAAGAAAATAAAAATAACCCCACACCTAATAGAATTTCTCATTAGGAGACGTGGATATCATTGCTAATATAGCAATCTCTTTATTATGCTAGGACAAAAAGCTATCAAATGTGCTGTTGTCTTGTCGTGGATAGCCCCATGAACATGTCCTTTTTTCTCTTCCATGAGAGTGTCTTTGTAGACACAGAGACCTTATTGAGACTGTACCTTTCTTTGTACATACATGTAGATACATACATGTTTCTGCTCAAGAAGCATTTGCTGAGAGCTAGCTGTGGATTGAAGAGGATCTCTGAGCTGCCAAATCCACAGCCACTTGGCACTCAGCAACCCACGAATCAGTTTCCAGTTTTTGTAACTTCTAACTCTGTCACCCTGACCACAGCTGGTCAAACTAGGAGGTGAGCACCAACCCAGAGACAGTGACGTTTTGGTTGCCAGTGTCACAGAAGTCATACCAGTGAGACAACTTTGTCCCCCAGGACAAACTTCCACACTGAGTGTTGTCCCAGGACGTTTTTTTGAACCAGCCAGAGTGAGAGATTAGAAACAAAAGATAGTAGCAGAGGAGAGAGAGAGAGACAGAGACAGAGACAGAGAGATTGAATCACTTAAATAGCAGAGGGAATTGTCACTAATGTTGATTTACTGACCCTCAGTGACCAAAACTAACACTTTGTTGAGAAGATATTCAAGTGAACCAACAAGATGTCTTGGCAGGGAGAAGTTCTTGCTTACAAACATAAGGACCCAAGTTTGATACCTGACGCCCACAAGATGGAAGGCAAGAACAAACTCCCACAAATTGTCCTCTGACCTCCACATGTGTGAGCACACACAATAAATAAATAAATGCAGATAACAACAAAACAAAGAACGAAAGGATCTTCCAGTAGACATAAGGTTCAGCAAGACAACTGCTGGGACAGCTTTACCCATGTTTTTTAAACCCGCATACTACTGGGATGAGCATCTTCTATTAGAGTTCATGGGAATGTATCTCTATTTCTTGTATCCTAAAAGGTTCTAACAGACAGTGTGCTGGTGATGGGGCAAAGAGGTGAGCATGTGATCTCTAAAGAGATAGCTTGTAAGTAGCAAGGTCATTCAGTTATGTTTCCATGTCCTAGGAAGACAGTGGCAAATTAACCCAAATTCATTTTTGGAAAGTTCTAGAAACTGGAAATCTCAAATCCGTTTCATCAGGCTAAAGTCAAGGTGTCATTAGGGCTGTCTTTTTCTAGAAGCTTTAGAGGGAACTCACTTTCTTGCCTTTTTAGATCCGGCTTAGTGCATGCTGGGAGTCCTGTAGATGATGTATATACAGGCTGTGGGGTTCTGGACAAGTAGCCCGGGGTAGATGAGGTCAAACACACACAGAATTTCAATAAAGTCTTTTTAATACGTGAAAAGAAATCCCTTTCCTATCCTCTGTAATCTCTCCATCTCGGGATTCCAAAGGCTGCAGAGCAATGATTGGGGTGAATGTGTGGTCAAGGTGATGCTGCCCTGTTCCCTGACTGGTCCACGTAAACCTTACCCACTTTGTACCATTGTCGAATTGTGCTGGAGAAACAGCTCTGCTGCCCTACACCCCTAAAGGAGAGGCTGCAGTAATAAATGCGTAAGTGCATTGTATTCGCAAATGAAAGTAAAAAAATTTCGTCAGAAATGAAAGATGCTGGGGAGAGCTGAGACATCGAGCAAACACCCAGGTATGGGGGTTCCTGACCACAGTCTGAGCTGGAAATGGGGTGTGCATCAGCAGAAACAAACAGTGTGTAGCTCAGAATCAAAATATGTGCCTGCTATCACTTAGACTGAAAATAGCTTTGAAGAAAACAACCAGCTTATCATCAGAAATGATTCCAGACAGTCAAAACATTGATGTAGTGAACCGTTAGGAAAGGAGGCTCCTTCTAGGTTAATGAAGTCAGTTTAACAGTACGAGTGTTTATGAGTAAGATGCTCAGAGGAGTAAATAATGTCCTTGCAGTTAACTATTTTCCTGATAGGAAAACACTCCCTTGGCACTTTTGTAGGAGGTTGGTTTTCATTGTTAGGCATCCACTTATTCACTGCAAAATTAGAATGCCAATCACTTTTTTTTTTTTTTGCTCTTGAGATAAACAACTTATCAAAAGGACATTTTTATTTAGACTCCTAATTTCAGAAGATTCAGCCCACGGTTGCTAAGGCTGCTCTGAGCCTATAGCAACACAGATAATCATGGCACGAGTATGTGGTGGAGGAGAGAGCAGGAAGAGACCTGATCCCCAAGTCCCCTTGGGAACACACCCCTAATGACCTGACTCCCTTCCAGCGACATCTGAACATTTCCACTGCCTCCCAAAAGCACCATACATGGGCACAAAGCCTTTAACATGTGGAACTTTGGGGTCATTTAATATCCAAATCAATAGACAGAAGAGGAAGAGAGGGGTGATCCAAATCAAAAGGTAAGACATTCAGAGATCAGTACTGTCTCTGGCACTTTGGGAGAAAGTTTAATTTTTCATTCTTAGGAATTCACTTACTCGACATAAACAAGTGTCCATAAGTGAGCTTATTATATTTTGTACAGGATTCACAGTCCAAGGTGGGCGTGTGGGTCAATGGGTGGGTGAAGGGGTAGATGGGTGTATAGGTAATAAACACAAGGATGACTTGTTCCGACTGGAAACTCTAGCTCTGAGATCTCTGACTGCAACCAGAAAGAAGACACTGGATCTGGGGGAGCATCATGTGACACTTCTGCGGCTTCCATTTGCATTTTCCTTGATTTATCTTCCAGGTTGTATTTTCTTGAAACCCCTAAGGACTGGGGTGACTTATGCTTGGGATATCAAGACAACTTCCCTTTCACACAGTACCATTGCCACTTAGTTTTATTCTCTGTCTTCATTTTAAATGATGTAATTACTAATCAATACTTCTTGCATTTCTTCACACACATTTTTTCCCAAGTTCTATTTCCTTAGCTAATCATGGCAACTCTGATATGAATCAATAGAGGCTAGTCTATGAACAACATTTGGTAGCCTTTTATTTTCTTAACAATGTTTACCTTAGAAGCCTGTTGTGGCAGATTTGGACTGGACAATCTCTCTCTTGCCCCTAGCTTCATTCAATCTTACTTAGCCCAGTCTACCCAGCTAGGCTCAGCTCTTGTCTTCCTCCTCCTCCCTGCTATCTACATAGAAACCACATCAAAAGACACACAGCTGCCCTGGGTCCGCTGGGTCTTTCCAGCATCCTGTGACTTTGCTCACGTGGCTCATTCTTCCTCCAGGCTCCTTCCCTTCTCTACGCTCCCTACTTCCCTTCCTTTCCCCTATTAGCCTTTGAAAAGCCAAACCGAAAACATCATACTTGAAGAAACTCCCATTGACACCCCCCTTACACCCCCACACTTATTATTACCAAGTATATTCTTTTGTATGCAACTCCTTAGAGCAACTTCAAACAAATCCATAGGGAGAGAAAATAAGAAATATACTACAAGCCAAACAAACATGTAAAACGAGCAGCTCATGAGAAACGGCCTGTGTATGAATGAAAAGTTGGAGGTTCTGCAATCAAAGGTCCAAATAGGGATTAGGAGATGATACTACTAAAAGTCAAAATAAGTAACCAGGGTAGACTTGGTACAGTTTGGCAGAGGTGCCCTTCTAAATTCAAACTCTGTTTCTAGATTACATTTGCCTGGGATATAAACACACTCCAGGGCCCAGAAGACGATCCTCCTACAAACTGCATTGACACTTGAGGGTTCGATCAGAGCTTTGGTTAAGGCAAGAGATGCTCAAGAGAGCAGTCAGTTCATCCTGGACATCAAGGGATGGCATCCTTTATAACAAGTTCACTTTTGCTCCCTCCAGGAGGACAGTGGAATTATGGACAATAGAGTGACGCCATGCTACCACTGGGCACATCAAGGTCGCCCAGAATTCAGCTAAGAGCACTTCAACCCCGTCCATGGACTCATTTCCCCATCACACCTACCACCAGGTAACAAAGTTTGTGTCAAACTGACAAAAACTAAGCTGCAGAGAAAATATTAAATACTCTGCAAACCAATTAGCAATCTAGCAGGGACACCAGAAGTTCTGTTTTCCTGGCTCGTTCTTAATTTCTCAGTTGAAGATGGTGTTCATTTTCAGTAATAAACATTCATCACGTGTTGGTCACCTAAACCTAGATTCTAACCATGATGTCCATTCAACAGGCGTCTGGGTTCTGAAAATAGGCAATCACAGAAACTGTCCTCCGGGAGAGGGAATGATGGCAGAGACATACCAAACTTCGAGACCAACATGGCAGAGCTGCTGGAATCCACCACAATTTTCTCACAAGTGACAAAAACAGTTTCTCCAGGTTCCTGCCTTGAGCTCTTGCCCTGGCTCCCTTGGGTGATGGAGTTTAACCCGTGAACCAGCTAAACCCTTTCTACCCACTGTGGTATGACCACACATGGTTCCCGGAAGCTCTGGCCCTCTTTGCCTTTTTTGTGAAACACCTGCCACACTTGAATAAACCCTTTCCTGCTTAGACTGACCAGAATGGGTTCTGTGTTGGCAACTTAGAGCTCTTGACCAATAAATACCCAATCCTATTGGAAACAGGAACCTCGAGTTTCAGGAACTCTAGACCTTGTTACTGCAGCAAAAGTAAACACTTGCTTGTCTTTAAAATAAAATAACTAACTCTTACAAGTTATGAAATAGGCCCGGTTTTCTTACAACTCATTTTTCAGTCACATTTCTTATGGCAACTTTCAAGTCAGCTGATAAAGATGCTCAAGCAGTGTAATTTCCCTCTAATGCGCATTTATAGAAGGCACAGGAGTCCATGAAGTCTGCTCAGTTTCTCCACACTCTTGGCTCACTTTGTTCTCAGGGCAAGAGCAAGGATGGGACAGACTAAAACTGCTGTCCACGCATCCATTACCCATGAACGCTGGCCTTACTGCTTCCATGCTCAAGACGCTGTACAGTAACCAGGAAATTAGACCTCTTTTTCCTCCAAGAATAATGAGCAGCAGATTAAAGAAAAATAAAATTTATAATAACTCTGTAAGAATTGCTAGACTAGTAGTAGCTAGAATTAAGGATAGGAGAGTTGTTCTCTCCATGGGTCGGATTCCCTCTAGAGTGTTAAGTCGAATGCAGTTCTGAGACTTTTGAAGGACTTCTCAGACACTTATTTCCAAATCCACCAGGTATTTCTCCAACATTATTTTGACTTGATTAGTTAGCCCTTTCATAAGAAGAGCAACGTTTCCCGAGAGATGGCATGCTTTAAACCACAAGCCACTGAGGAGATTAAGAACGTGTGGCTTTCCTCTTCTCTTTTCCTCAAACTCGAGGCCACCAATGCTCATTCCAAACTTTAAATCTTTGTATAACGAAAGCCCTGCCAGTGAATAAAACATACTAAAGCCACAGAGAAACGTTGGTTTTGGCAAGCTGAGCAAAGAGAAGTGGGAAGCAAGGAAGCAAACAAAACACAGAGAGGAACTTCTACCTTGACCCTCTTCACAAAATGTCACTTAGAAACAACAAAGCCAGCCATGTCATTCTTACATCTAGAAAATAATTAAGAAGAGCATACTTGAAATGAATGGCCTCTGCAGGCTCTCTTCTTTCCAACACGCGGAAGTCCAAGATAGAAAGCTCTGTGGGATTTCATTTCTGGAAGTGAAGAGGAGGGCAAAAGCCAGGCTGACTACTCTTGAAGAAACAATGGCTAAGTGTCTCTTTCCAGATAAGAAAAACCAGACTTCAGGGATCATTTCTGTGTTTGTTACAAAAGAAGATATTATTTGGGGGGGGATGTAGAGCATTGGAAACTACAAGATGGGGTGTAGCCGTCTCTCCTGGTGTGAAGTCGGGGTTCAATGTTGCTTCATGGCCTCTACTTTCAGCTGTCAATCAGCCTTCTTTTGGGATATCAAGAGAGAGGGTGACTCCGAATGTTCTCTTAAAATAAAAAAGACACATCACTTTTTTATGAATGTGGAAACTCCACTGGACCACATCCCATCCATGAAATATAACAGCTTAACGCAGAAGCCATACCACACCCTATACTTCAAGTGTTTAGAAGCCATCCTGCCATTTCCCCAACAGAAACACTCTGGGATGGCTAATTCTGGTTGTCAACTTGACACAGCCAAGCAGAGGGTACCACAGTTGAAGAATTGCCTCCATCAGATTGGCCTGTGGGTATGTCTATGGGGTATTTTCTTAATTGCTAATTGAAAAAGAAGAAGCCAGGCCACCGTGGGCAGTACCATCCTTGGGTAGGGGGTCTAGACTGCATAAGGAAAGCAGCTTAACTTTAGCCTGCGAACAAGCCAGCAAGATGAGTTCCTCCATGGCTTCTGCTCCAAGCTCCTGACTTGTTTCCATGGCTTCCCTCCATAAAGGTCTGTAACTTTACGATGAAATAAAGCTTTTTTCTTTTCTTTCCCTAAGTTACTTTTGGCCCCATCCCAGCAGCAGAAACCTAACCAGAATAGATACTGCCTGAATCTTTCCCCCAGCTGCTAACTTTCATTGATTTAAAAAAAAAAAAAAAACCTTTTACCTCCCTCCCCCCCCTCCCCCAAGATCCCATTTTTTGCCCGGCAATCTTGTCTACTTCCCATAATCAGGAGGATAGCTATATGATTTTCTTTGGGATCACCTTCTTATTTAGCTTCTTTAGGAGATCAAATTATAGACTCACTGACCTTTATTTATCTCTAGAAACCAATTATGAGTGAGTACATCCCATGTTCATCTTTTTGGGTCTGGGTTACCTCACTCAGGATAGTGTGTTCTATTTCCATCCATTTGCATGCAAAATTCGAGAAGTCATTGTTTTTTACCGCTGAGTAGTATTCTAATGTGTATATATTCCACACTTTCTTCATCCATTCTTCCATTGAAGG